AAATACATTTTAAAAAAAAAAAAAAAAAAAAAAAGACAAGTCTCAAAATTCACAAGAGTTAGAGACAGACAGGACACGCCCTTGCCCTTAGCTACAGAGGAGGCTCTCTGGGCATGTAAAACCAGTTCCCCTTCTGAGTTACTAACAAAACCAAGAACAGCCCTCTTGTTTTCCTGTGCAAAAGAGAGTTGCAGAGGCCGACAGGTGGCGTGGTGGTTAAGGGGGCTGGACTCCCACACGGCTGACTGCAGTTCAAGTCCTGGATCTGGCAGCTTGCTTTCTCACTTTCCCTTTCTCTCTCTCTCTCTTACCCTGTCCCTCTCCGGTCAAATTAAATAAATGAATAAAAATAAAGTTAAGTAAAATAATTATTTAAGAGAGAGAGAGAGTTGGGAGGGTATACACAGCGGTGGCCGGTCGCTCTGGAATACACCTACCTGTCCTGGAGGTAGAAGAAGAAGTATCTGCACACCCCTGTAGGAACTGTTGCTGTGCCCGTGAAAATGGCTTTAGAAAGCAGCCCACCCTAGACCTGGTCTCCCTGGTGCCATGGCGGTGGCATCTGTTTGTGCACTGTGACCACCCAGTACCGCATCACCAGGATAGCAGGAGACCCCAGTGCTCTCTTCCCCAGCCTGCATAGAGGCCCCAAGACGGCCGGGTTGCTCATCGTCACCAAACAGTTGCCCTCACGCAGCAGGCCCCCGCAGCTGCTGTCACTTGTCCTCAGCCACCTCTAGTACTTGTCCTTGGGCCGCCCTCCTGGACTCTCCCAGCATCTGGACCTCCACCAACCCCTTGAGGCCTCTGGCTGGGACTGTCCCTTAGGCCCTGCATTGATGACCGTGACCCTCTGTGACTCATTAGTACGGCTGTCCTGCTGCATGGCTCTCCGTCCATGTGCTGGCTGTATTGGGAAGCAGGCTTCCTGGTGCTTCCTTCCTGGGGAGGGAGGCCGGCTAGCATAATAGGAGCCCCTGCCTCTTACTTCCCTCGGCCCCTAGGGAGAGGCAGAGACATCAGCTGATTGCTAAGTCTGCGGGGAATGCCAGGCTCCCTGCTTCCCAGCCCGCTAGAATGGACCTCTGCCTCACCTGCCTATAGTCTTCCCCACCAGGCTGGGCTTGCCAGCGTTGCCTGCAACTGGGCCTTGACCTCCCACATTCTGCAGTTCAGTGGGCAAGGACATCCGGTCAGCCTGCCAGCCTCTGCCAGTAAAAGGGACCCCACCCCTGGCCACCACACTGACTCGGTGTCAGGAGCTCAAGGGTGCTACCTACAGGATGTGTGGGCCAGTAGGGACTGGACCAGTCTCGTAAGCTCCCGCCAGGCAACATAGGAAACCCCAATCTGACCTCTGACCTCTATGTGGTGGCCTGGCGTGAGTCACTAGCCCTCTTCATTTTCTCCCCGGCTGCCAGCTGCCACCTGCCAGGTTCTCAGGAGGAGCGATGGAAAGTGTGTGTGTGTGTCTGCCACAGCGAAGCAGCTCTGCCATTCCAGCACGGCACAAAGCAGGAAGAAGCAGTCACTTGCCTGATCTGCTGTCTCCCTTTTCTGGCCCTTACCCTTAGGAGCAGGAGCCACGGGGTACATGCCCCTCATACAGGAATCACTGCGAGTCTCTCAGAAGAAATCTCACATTTAATTCTGGCAAAGCTTAAAGTAGCATCTACGTAAACAAACATGCTTCTAAGTGAAAAATATAACAGCTGTTAGTCTGTGTTTCTCTTAAACAATGAACCATATTTTCCTTATTCCTAAACAATTCTCCATGCCATAAATAACCCGCCCGAGTCCTGGGTGTACACTGCTATATGCAGTATGTAGAACATTTGCTATATTTCAGCGTGAACCTGTACGCACCTATTACCGAAAGTCATGTCTCTTGGTCAGAAAGTGTCATTGAATTTTACTTTAACTTGCAGCAGCCTTAAGGACCAAATGTGCAGCTTCAGGCCTCTGACCCTGGTTCCCATCTCTGCCTCTCCAAGCACAAGGGCAAATCCTGGAACTCCACACAAGGCCCTTCAGCCCTGGCCCAGCAAGACTGGCAGGGGCTGCTCCACGGCCCCGGTTGTCCAGCAGACTCTCAGCCGGGCTGAGGGACCTGGGCTTTGCATACCGGAACCGTGGGCCACTGGCTTCCAGCTGGGTGGAACACAGAAGCAGCAGGAGAATACCTACACTGGCCAGGTCCAGTGCAGAGCCTCCTTCATGTCGTCCTTAACGGTCTTAAAACCAGTGGTTTAACTCCTGTGAACTGCTGCAGGCTTCAAAGGGAAGAGGGTTGCCCCTGTACCAGGAGTCATGAGATTCCCCTCTAAGGGGGAATCAATCCAGAAATCCCACGTCATGGTCCTCCTCTCTTCACAGATGCTACATGAATGCCTACTTTCATGTTCCCCCAAGCAGAGGCCGGGAGAGGGGACACTTCCAGATGCAGGGGTATGTTCTGTATAGCATGTGGGTAGAGCGCATAACTGCACTACTAAATGGTCCTTAATCCCACAGACTTAGCACTTGGGGAGACTCGTGTGTAGATCTTGAAATTTTTACTGATCAAACCACGAGGTAAACCATTTTCTTCCCATTGATGTTCCTGGTCTTCAGCCCCAGATACCGATGGCTCTTCTTCGCTGGCTGCCCATACAGCATGTTGGTGATGAACACAGGCTCTTCTTTGGCCTGTGGCTGGGAGGTCAGAAAGCTAAACACATCTCTTAGCTTACGATACAGATACGCCATGGCCTCTGCCTCCTCAGATGGCTCCTCATACACGGGCTGCTTCATTTCATCATAGGATGACAGGATCACAGCCTGAAATAAGTTGATCAAGATGCAGATCATCACCAGCATGAAAGATGAGAGGAACAGGACCCCTAGGAACCTGTTACTGGAAAACTCGGTGTCCTGAAAAGCAGACACGCAATACGAGAGTATGGTTTGGGTGGCATGAAGGAAGTTACTGTAGTTCCATTCATGCTGACCGAATACCAAGTAACCAAAAGCCACGTACACGAAGAAGTACACAGACACCACAAGTGCCATGTGGCAGATGCCAGGAAGGGCGGTCTGGATGGCCCTCTGAGCCAGGCGCACATCATAGAAGACTCTAGAATACCGGAGGGTCTTCAGAATCGTCAGAAATAAGAGGAACCCCAAAATTATCCTCATGATGTGATCTGTTTGAGAAACTGCATGGAAGGGAACGAAGTCATCGGGGTTTGACAAGTAAAAGTGAAATATGCCTGTGGCCAAGAAATGCTTTCTGAAAAAGAGCATAATCAGTACAGTAAATATGCACTTCAGGGCGAAGTTGAGCAAATTATACACACTTCTCACATAGGAGGCTCTTTCTTGTGTAATGATGTAGACCTCATCAACAATGTAGGCTAGGAAAAAAATGAGAATGGCTACATACAAGTAGATCTCTGCGGAAGTTTGTCTGTTGAAATCAGCAAGTGTGAACGAGTATACAGATATGCTTGTGTTGACAACTCCCAACTGAGAGGCCTCAAATATGACCGAGATGCTGCAGATGAGATTTACATCTGGGTTGAAAGTTGTAAGCTCTAAAATCACAGCCCAAGTCTTCTCATCAAGCCAGTTGCTTCCTTGGAGTTCTTTGAGCCTCAATGTGGAATTAAACTGTTGCTGTTCTGGAAAAAAGTAGAATGCATATCCTCCGGACCCATAGGTATGTAACAGTCCATAGGAATAATACACCCATCTCTCCTCTTGAGGCTTATAAGTAAACCCACTGGCATTCTTATCTACATCCCGCTTACCAATTTCATTCCAAGAGTGAGAATAGCTCTTTGTGTCCTCAGGGTCAATGCCATATTCGGGATGACAATGGGTTTCTCTTGAGACACTGCTTGGCACAAAGCTTTCAGCAGGCAGACATCTTTTTTCACTCGGTTTTGCCCTCACCTGTCTCATCAGTGGAAGGCCAAGGATCATAGATGAACCATCAAAAAGAAATGTTGGATTCAAGTCATTGTGGAACAAAGGCAACAGCACACTGTTTAGCCATTTGTAGATGTCTTTCAGCTTAGTCACGGTAGCAAGATCCTCAGAGAACTGATCATGAATGAATTGGTTATAGTAAAAGCTGTCGCTGTGGCGGAGCAGGACGATGAGGATCAAGAGAAGGGCTAGAAAGATAAAGTGAGTTACGAGGTAACTCAGGAACAAGATGGCTCTTCTCTTGATCTTCTTCCTTCTTTTGAATATTTGGATTTCATCCTCTGTGAGAGGTTGGTACATCCTCGTGCCTCGGATGTAGACAATACGTTCATGGAGCTTCTGCATTTCCTCTGGATTCATCCTGATCTCCTCCAACTTGATCTCAGTATAATGGTACCCAGTTGTCCATGAAAGATTTTTGCAGTACTTGGGCCGACTTGTTCTGAAACCTGACCGCAGTGTAATTTTACATGGCTGCACCAGGAAGATGGACTGACAGAATGAACAGAAAGAAGCGAAGGCCCATTCTACTGACTTCTCATAGCCGTAGGTCAGTCCATAGAAGACGATGAAGAAGGACGATATACTACAAGTGGCAAAAACCAAGAACCATGCTATGTAAACACACCACCAAGGCAGGATGATCGAAGGCTTTTTCTCAACAGGTATAGGGTTCAGGTGCTCTTGGGGAAAGCCCCCTTCTGAATAAACGTCATGATGGTCTTGTACGTTTTTGTTACTGAAATTCGTATTTCTTCCACGGGTCTCTGGGGCCTTTGTTTCCACTTTGGTACGCTGGTGCGCCGGTTTGAAGGTGCTCCGATTAGAAGCCTTGGGAAGTCCAGGCTTCCTCGTAGAAGCGCGCTTTGCAGCCTTCCTGGCGCGCGCTTCATAAGCGTGCCACTTCTCCAAACGCTCTCCCCAGTGTATACGTTTTTCTGACAACAGCGGGTGCGTTTGAGGAGCGACCTCATTCAGAGCCACTCGAGGTTTCTTTTGGGAGTAGGTGAACAAAAAAGTGATTAATAATTGCACAGGGACTGTAATTAAGACGCTTTCGATTCCTATCATCATTGATCTGATGTAGCGCATCTCATACCCCTCCGTTTGTTCTTTGCTTAGGTTAAAGAACATAATATTACAAAGAAGGGAGCTCAGCAACACCGCCAAACAGCATGACAGTCTCTGGAGCCTGTTGAACGATTTACCAACAACATCAGCAAAAACAGAGAACCACATGTGGCCTTTCTTTAGCTTATTACTCACATCTATCAAGAAGAAGTCCTTCCTGGCCAGAGGCTCATCTGGGTGGATGACATGGAACGTTCTGTCCAAAGTCGTATCGATAGAAAGCCATTTCCGGCAGATGAACAGCCAAATGTGTCTGCTGAACAGATTTTCCACTTTGATTCGACTTAAATACCAACTAGGTGCATGGCCCTCATTGTTATGCCACACACGAATGGAATGGAGGTCCCCCAAGTCACTTTTTGTCGTTAGGAGGAAAGTGTTGATGCTTCCTCGGTAGAGAGAGATAAAATGTGGATGGCTCAGGCAGTGCACGTCACTGGTACTCGCTGTTCCCTTAAGTTGCATGAAGACGTTGGCCCTGGTCCCAGACCCCCAACGGCTTCCTGTGAACACAGTGACCAGGTAGCATATGTTATCGTAAGGATCATTATCGGGTAGAACTATCACGCGGTCCCGAAGGAAATTGTCTATCTCATCCCTGTGCAAGGCCCAGAAAGCAAGGACGATGTAGATGAGCATAATTAAGAGCACAAAGAAGACAGACACCGGGTTTTGGTTCAGTTTCTGGATGAGCTTTATCTGCAGATCCACAGGATTAGGGATCACAATCATCTTGGCCGCCACGTAGCGGGTATGCAGGTGAAGGTTGGAGAATCTGACTGGCCCCAGCTGCCGCCGGGCCCTTACTACGTTCTTGCAGACACAGTGCACTGTGTGCGAAGAGGTCTTCTCGCCCAGAGCGCAGCTGTCTCCTCTCCACTCACTCTGGATCCCACGCATGTCTAAGCACTGAACACTGAAAAGGTGAATTCTCACTAGCTTGCTATTGGGCTTCAGGACAAAACGGGGTGCCTGTAGTAGCATGGATATGGTGCACCTGGCCGAGTGGCTGCGCTGAGCTATGCCTTGGAGCAGGGCCGCGGGGAGGCACACCACACGGGCCTGCTTCACTGGACAGGCCAGGTTGAACAGGCCACTCTGGTTGGCAACTGGAGGGATGTTATTAGGCACCAGGAAGGAGGCAACCAGAGCACTTGGGGCGACCTGACTACCTGCATACACCGACACCTGGAACAGCAAGGTCACCTTTGTCACAATGTGAACCAGCACCTCCCTACCTGTGCTGGTGTCCACGTCAAAGCTAAACGCCCCCCTCGTCTTCTTCAAGGACTCATCACCCTCGGTGTCCCATCCCACTGTGAGATTAAAAGCTTCAAAGGTCAAGTTTTTTCTGATGAGGTACACTTCTGCTACGTCGGGTGTGACCTCTACCGTGTTATCTTTGTCTCTGGCTCCTGTCATTCTGAATCCAACCACCTGTGTTGAAATGTTTTCCTGAAAGTTTAGCCAAGGGAAGGGATCACCTGCAAACTCACAGAACATCGTGGAGACATGAGCGTTGGCAGGCAGGGCAGGGGCGCTGCTTGCATTCAGCGCTGGATGGAAACAGTTAGGGCAGCGTTTTTCATCTCTGAAGACCTGCGCAACATCCTGCTTTTCAACTTTCTGGACATACATTTTCAAGTTGGGGGTGCTCAGTATAGTGGTTTCGTTCCCCGGCACTTTGCTAGCCAATACTGTTTCTGACAGGGACTCTGCTATGTGAAAAGGGTCTTTAACCAGCTCGTGACGAGTGGCCAGTTTCAGGAAATTAGACAAACTCGTCAATATGCCAGTGCTCACGATCTCTATTTGTTCAGAGCGGAAGCGTTGATCTTGCCGCCGATACTCTTGTAGGGCTTGATTTGCTTGCCATATCCTCGCTGTGGCGTGTTTCCTAGCAACTCCAGTGAATCCAGAGGCTGACTGGGTTAACTTAGTGATAGTTGTGACCACCTGGCTCATGCCCTCCAGAGTGCTTAGGGGAAGAACAAAAGATTGGTTGACAAGGTGTTCTTGGAGATGGGATTTGTCGTCCTGGAGAGTGGAGTCGGTTTTCATCGTATTCAAAATGGAAGCTACCATGTACATTAAGTAACCTGCAGGTAGAAAGTGCTGCTTTTGAAGCAGAGTAGACAGCAATGAAGTTGGACCCTTGGTGAGACCGAGTAACTGAGCCAGCACTGTCTTGGAAGAGTTGCTGACGGTCGGAGGCTGCACAGCAGTGCGCAGAGTCACCTGAGAAAAGGCTCCCAGAGAGTCGTAGACCTGCGCATGTACCTTCATGGCGTAATGATTAGCCAACTCGCCCACGGGGAGGAAGGATGGGGGTGTGGTGGACTTCGTCCCAAAGTACAAGATGGTTCCCAAGGTGTTTTCTACTACCGAACTGATCTCACCAATTCCGTACAAATCAGAAACTATTATTTTATATGTCAGAGGCAAGTGCTTGTCCACGAAACCATCACACTGGACAACAAATTTAGTAAAGAGGGCAATTCCCTGAGCTGGATTAATTTTGCATTGTCCGATCTCAGGGCCATTGTTAATAATAAAGGAATACTTGAAGGTCAAGATGAAGCCACTCCAACTTGCCACGTGTAGACTAGCCCCAAACTCATTTTCCAAAAAATGACTAAAAGCAAAAGCTTTTACAGACAGATAAGCAGTATTCCTCCCTGTTACTGTCTTCCCCAACCAATCAAATGCCACTTCAGCACCAGAAGCACTCACAATCGACCAGTTGTAGGAGTCACGGCCTGTGCAACCCGTGCAATTCAGAAACAAAGAAAATCTATCTGACACAATTAAAGACCTGTCACAGTTTTCAATACACGAAAGGTGTGCCTTGGGTAACGGGCCTGGGAGCACGTGAACCCTTCTATCAGCAAACGCTGTTCTGTCCGCCTTTTGTATCACCATCCGGAAAAAGTACACCTGGTCACCTTTCAGTGTTTCTGGCAACAGTTTTAGTACAGGGCCAGAGGCCCAAGGCCACTTGAGGGTGGCCTGCTCCGGGTGACAGACCTCACTGCCCATCACCGTGACTTGGCCTTGGTCGTCATAGTTGTTTGGACTTGTGGTGCAGTACCAGAAGAAATGGAGGTCCTCCCTGGGGATGTCGGCATCTGGGTCACAGGACTGGCCTCCATCCAGGGTCAGCGAGTCCTTGAAACCCAGCGTTATGTTGGCATCCCCAAGAATAACCGCTTTGAGGGGGCTTCTCACAACGCAGAGGTATATGGCATCGGAGTCTGTCACTTGAGAGTTCTTAGGGTCTATGGTGCTGACGGACAGTGTGAAATTGAACATGTACACGCCCAAAACCAAGGTGTCTCGGGGGACGTACAAAATTTCCGGGCCTCCTCTCATCTCTAGGTGTGGCAAGTCCAAAGGGTTATTCCAGTCGGGCACGTCGCCCACAGCCTTCACGGGAAAGACCCCCCATGTCTGCTGGAGGCTGGTGGCGATGGCGCAGTCGATGCGGAAGGTGGCATTGATGGTGATCTCAGCCCTCACGTTCAGGTACACAGGAGAGCCCGGGTTATCCGTGTTGATCTTCACATAGTTGATAATACAGGGTCTCAGCTGGCAGGACGCCGAGGGCGCGGGGCCGTCCGGGGGGCACCCAGGCAGCTGCGGGGCGGAGCGGGGGTCGCGGCCCTCGGCCTGGGAGGCGCTGC